TGAAACATAAAGAGTGTTCAGCTCACAAGACAGGTTTTGTACATAATATGTGGAGTGGAATGCTCATTATAGCTGGTTCAGAGAAGGAGAGAGCCCACGTGAGACCCCCGCCATTAATCTCTCATCTTTACACCCCCGGAAAACAGAGATAGGGGTCAGAGGTCAAAGCCGCTGGTCGGTGCTTCCAGCAGGACTCGTCTGATTGGTTCACTCAGACCCCACTTCCTGAATTCCTCCCTTCTAACACCCTGTAATATTTCCCATTACTTCTCGTATGTCTCACTCATATTATTTTAGTTTTTAAATCCCCTCTTCTCCTGGCATATTGGAATTGAAAGAATGGTTAATTGTAGTCTACATAAATCAAATTAAAATGAAAAAAACAACCAAAACAGGCTGTACTGCAGCAAAATGTCCTCAAAGTTGGAATATGAGCACTGGAAAACACGCAGGGTTAAAGCAGTAAACGCTGCAGGTGAAAAGGGAATTTGCATACAAAAGAAATGGGGGTAACAAGTTGTCAAAGCCACATACAGTATAGAGGTTGCTCAAACTAAAATCATAAAGTATTATATTTGGACTGTACATACCGCATTAGAATTTTTCTCTGGGTTCACAAAAAATGACGTAGAAACATTTCACAATGCCAAGGGACACACAAACACACACCTTCAGTTTAGTTAGTTAGCTAGTTTTGTACTGTATAGGTTGGATTTATAATACTATCACAGTGCAAAATACTTCTGAGAACCGAAACAAATGAAAGAAATAAGAAAGGATTAAGTCCCTCTATGCATATTATGATTGTGTATATATGGGGTTGGGGGGGGGGGGGGGGGGGGGGGGGGGGGGGGGGGGGGGGGGGGAGGGCAAATATGTTTTGCAGCACAGGAGACGATTGTCATCTTTTTTTTCTTCTTTTGATCAGTAAATGGAGAAGGCATCAATGTACAGTACATATAAAACAAATCAAAATGAAATCAACCCTACGTCCTACGGTCTAGCACAGCTACATAGCTTTGTAGAAGCAATAACAGATGACTTGTATCTAAGGCTATACACAATATGTCTTTTTTTCCAGTTTTTTTTTGTTCTTTTTTGTAGTCTCATCTTAAAGTAAATACATCAAACCATTTCAGTAGTCAGTAACACTGTGCAACAATGATCGGTGGCAGTATTTTAGAAACATCTGCAACACTAGAGTCCTTGAGGTTGACATGAGAGATGAAGAGAAGGGGCCGGAGGGCGATAAAGAAAGTGTTCCCCCTTTTTTTTTTCATAAGATCTATTTTTTTAAATGTATTTCTTCTCAGTCAAACTCTAGAAGAACGCCTACCTTTTCAGGACGTGGCCGCGTAAACTACTGTCTTTGCTTTATCCTTGTCACAAATGCTTTAAAACCTTTGTTTTTTTTTAACTACTGTATATCTCTCTATGTACATTAAGCGTCTACGGGCGCTGTGATACAGAAAAAAGACAAAAAAGGGAGGCATATAGCAGAGAGAAGGCCTGTACTGGCCTGGGTATGGAGGTGTGTGTGGGGGAGGGGGGAGGGGGGGTATAGTATCATAAGTACATTTAGGGCAGTTTCATATTCTGTCTCCTTCACAATCATCATTAGCACCACCATCATCAAGAGTCAACTTCTTGCATCGTAGATTGTCATATGGTGCCCTGTCCGTCGATGACCATAATCAATGATGGTCATTGGACGTTAATGGTCACTCAATGCCAGCTGATAGGAGAGCATGAAGGGGGCTGGTCTGACAGGAAGTGTGCTCAGTCTCCGTCAGCAGCCCGGTAAAGTTTCTATTTTACAGTAGAATACATTCCAGGTATAATACAACGGTGGTCCGTGGACTCGTGAAATCTTCTTCATTCGACAGGAGTCTTTGAAAGCATTTGATCAAGCACTACACTTTAGTCATAATTTGGAGGAAAAAAAAACGTCTCTAGCTCAAGGAATGTATAAGAGATTGCGGTGCCAGTTACAGGAAGTGCTAATCAGACAGGTAGTTTCATCAAAAGAAAGAAAAACAAACATTGTATAAGAGAGAAAGACAACAAAGACAAGGGGGCATTCAGACCACAGGAGACACAACAGGGAATGTGCCGTCACTTGGTTTAGTGTCCGAGCGTCTCAATAATCCGTCCCCAAAGGAAAACTGTTCCTTCATATAGTTCTCGCCTTCTCTTGACTCTGACGGTAGTATGTGGTTTTTTTTTTTCATCTTAAATAAAGTCTTTGTTATAGTGTACTCCTTAATTTATCCTTCATTCTCCTCACCACCATCGCCTTCATCATCATCCTCCTCATCATCCTGCCTTGCTCCGGTGTGGGGCCGTTAGTCTTTGTTTACAGCGTGGGCGTCCAGCCCCTCGGGGTCGCCTAGGTTATGGTTGTTAGGGTGGTTAAGGTCGTTGTTAAGATGGTTGGGGTCGTGGGTCAGCGCGGGGTCGTGGGTCATTGGCTGGTCCTCCTCTCCTACCCAGAGATGCACTACAGCCAATAAGAGAACAAGAGGGAGATTAGCACCACGGACCCAACACACCGACCACCCCAAAACACACACACACACCTTCAGCAATGCATCATATGGTCAGTAGGGCCAATGGATGGGTATGATTAAGATTTGCACCATGGGTAATTGCTAATTTTGTCAAAATGTATTACATTTTAAAGACTTTAAAGGGTCGTTTCAACAAAATTACAAAGAAATAAAAAGTATTACATGCATATCTAGTCATAACAACCGGTTTAGTCAAATTTGTCCAGGTTCTTAGTCCATACACAAATACAATGGAGGTGAATACATGCTGGATAATCCATTGACTGACTGCACTGCACAAGTAACATGTAACACTGGCAACAGTTTTCATTGGGACAGTTTTTTTGTTAAGTAGTATTCCCAGTTAAAACTAGTCCATGGATTAACCCTAATTACAGGGAGAGAAAAAAACAAGTAAATAGAGTTTTGAATATAATAGAAATTCACCTCCATTGTATTGGCATATTGACTTTCAACACAACAATTGTTTTCGTGTCACACAGAACGATTTCTATTGGTAGTATGTTTCGTGCCTGCACCAAATAATAACAAATTAGAAGGAAACAAATATGACAAAAAAATACAGATTTCAGTATTCTGAGGCTCTGAGCCCCATTTATTTTCCTCACAGACGGCAAAAAAACTCAGACATTATACAATTTAAAATAAAAGGGTAAGATATTGAGTAAGAACATGTTTTTATGAACCCCACAGCTTCCGGTCTTCCAAGACCCGACCGGACAAAAAGACGTGGTGCAGGCACGAAACATACTACCAATAGAAATACATTACTTTTAAAATCGTTCTGTGTGACACGAAAAAAATGCAAGAATCGTGTTGGTGAACACGAATCAATAGATTCAATTAATTTCGTGACTATAACACAAAATGCCGTGAGACTGGGTTGTGACTTTAGTTACCAAAAAAGGGTATCTCCAATCCTGGACAAATGAAACCAAAAGCATCAGCATGGCTAGATATAAGCCAAACATTGTTCATTTTTGAGTGAACCGACCCTTTAAAATGTCTAAATCAAATTCAGATTATGCATTATATTAGTTGTGATTAACAATGTAAAACACCAGGACCAGCAACAGAAAAACCTCCAGCTCAGAGTGCCACGTTTAAATCATTGGATCCGTTATGCCGTATATACTGATGATACCTGTTTCTATGTTAACACTAAAACAGGAACACTTCAAAATGAAATACATTCAGGTACAACAACTACACAGGTTACATCTATATCCAGTTTAATTCACATCTCTGAGACAATCAGTATTACCATCTTAATGCAGATCTATTGAACTGGATCGCATTGTAGGGTGTTCCTGTTATTATCTTACCTACGAAACTATTAGAAAGGTACAAGGCTGCTCCTTCAAAAAGCAAGCTCAGCAGATCTTCTACTGCAGAAATCTACCATCAGTTCTTTCTAATTGTATTTCTGCATCTTCTGTACACAGCAGCGCACATTGATATTGTGACAGTGAAATAATCATTTCTAAAATGATACGAGACACTAACACATTACGGTTACGACAACTGGAGTACTTTCCTACTTGTTACAATCAAGTTGCTTGGCTCAATAAGTGTGACAGGAAGTGTGACAGTGGGTGAGAACGAAGTGAGTAAATCTAATAAAAAAAGTTTTTAAGACTCGGTGAGACAGTAAGAAATGCATAACTGTAATTAGGTCCCACCGCAGCGGCCACTAAATAATACAACTTGCCCCCACCCCCCATGTCTTTTTCTACACTTTCATTCCCTCAGCAACTTCTTTCGAAAATTATTTTGCAATAAAACACCAGCGAACACATTTGCATGTCATGTTCTTTTAAAGTGGCGTTATGAATCTGACAAAACCAAATTAAAACACAGGTTTATTTGAGCTGTGCTTGCGCGAGGACGGAAATGGATATGAAAATGAAAGGAAGTGGCGCCGTAACAGAGAGAAAATAAAGAGCTATAACATGATAAAACATCTCTTAGATTCAGCGCCGGGTAATAACTCTCAGGCTGTCGGTGCGTGGAGGGAACAACCCCAACATCGCTGCAACCATTTACTCTGTTTGTCTCATATGGTTTCTGCTTTGAATGCTCCGCTTCAGATACTTCCAATTACACTTAAGGATAATTACAAATGGCTGTATTTATTCAAATGTTATTGGTAGAGATTTTGATTAAACTTAAGTTCGAGTCGTATTCCTAATGCACGTTTATAGTGACCTAGATCATACCAAACACCATTAACATGACTAGCTGTGAGAGTACAGTATGTACATGGAGGTTTGTTTCTTTTATATCCAAGTAGCACACATTAGAATTCCTAAGGATATGTTTTCATGACCAACTTTCACCACAAGATGGCAAGCTAAGGCAGTAAATAAGACGTCGATGCCACAGCTAAGCATACCTCTGCATATACTCGGACATGTATTTCTCTATTGAGGGAGATGCACTTTTAAAATGTCTGTATTAGAAGTCATAATTAAAATAAAATATAAAAATAAAGTTTTCTCTCTCTCCCCAAGGGCACTTCCTGCCTTTGACTTCCCTGTAACGAAACTTCCCGTAACGAGCTCCAGATTAGGCCCCATATTTGATTTGCACTGTTCATTAACTAAGCCACCTGGAATGTTATTATTTAAGCACGGTGCTCCTTCTCCCCAAACAACTGCCACTGCGAAGGGGGAGAGATTTCCTGGCCAACTTTATAGATTTAGCATAACTTCCCCTCACAGTTTTTAATTTCCCATTCGGGCAGGCGGCAGATGCACCTCGCAGACACAGAAAACCTGCCTGGCATTCATTCATCACATGAATGCGAGTCTTATCTGTGTGCAAATATGCTAAGCGTGCTACATGCGCATACGAAATGGAAGTTTGATATTGACAAAAATATTCCTCAATTTGAATGATCTAACTATGATTTTCTCATATTAAAGCCAACATTAAATCTAAAGTGCATGCCCATATGTGACAGAGTAAGTTTGCCCTCTTGTGGTTGGTTGCGATATAGCTGTTTGAGACGGGTGCTTATTGGAGAGGATAGGACCTGGGAACATATGGTGTGAGGACGCACAGCTCCAGGATCCATCCACTGTTAATACATGTGTCATGCTTAACAGAATGGATAAATGGGTAGGAGGATGGAACAATGGCATACCACTGCACTCGGAGCATGTGTTTGGACCGCCTTGGGATACTGGTGGACTATGTGTGTGTGTGTGTGTGTGTGTGTGTGTGAGTGTGTGTGTGCGTGTATGTGTGGGTGGGTGTGTGTGTGAGTAAGTGTGTGTTCTCGTAGGCATCACCTGACATTAATAGCAGTCTGTGAAAGCATCAGACAACAAACGCAAATGAAGTAAAGCTGGTATTCTGCAGTGAAATACTTTCTGATTCATGAGACTAGTATGGTGTTGGAAGGCATTTTTGGGATATTATAGCAAATGCAATTTTTAGCTAACCCTAACCCCTAACTTGTGCTTCTGTCTATTTATAATCTGTGCCAATAAGATTATGTTTTAAGTTTGTCTGTTATCATGATGACACAAAAGTTACTGGCCTGATTTATTCATGGTCCAAGAAGCACCCTTATAATTTTTGGAGCAGATCCGAATCACGGTACCCATACACACTTTATTTTTCACTTATGGAGACGGCCTTGATCGCACTCCGAGTGCCCTTTCTAGTTATTTCAATTTTTGATGAGCACGAGGGTTTAGCTAATATAGATTTTTGAAGGTCGATAGGTATTTTAAAGTGGAGCTAACCTGAGCTGACATTTTGGGTTCAACTTCAGTTCACGCTGTTGAAATGGCATTATAGGGTGTTGGAAATGGTCAGTTCACACGTATAACCTGTTCTTATTTCTCCAGTTTAAGAGAAAAAAGAGTCTGAGATAAGTACAGACTGTGGACTGGTACTTCAGAAAGGTACCAGTTTTCCCCTTAGGCACTGTCAAAGTATCCTTAAGCAGGACACAGACCCCCCACTGGTGCTGTATAATAACCCACTGCTCCTAATACTAGAATGACGATGAAAGAGGATTTCACTGGAATCCTCCATTTCCGTTGTCAGATATCTATCAAATGTAACTTGATACCGCACTGTATTTCGCTCTAATGTAAAAAGACGAGAGCCCCCAGGCATCGCAGGCCGCCTGGTAGCCGTGCATCGTGTCATCCTCTCTACATATGGACTTCAGCAGTGAGTGTGCAGATCTGTGTGAACCCTGAGTGAGCCGCTGAAGGTGGCTGGGGCTCCTTTGTTCCCTCTCCCAGGCATCCGGGCCCTCCACTAGCAGAAAGTGTTGTTCTTGGCACAGCCCCGTCTCATTGTACAGCCCAGTATTTATAAATATGTAAATATGAGCGGCACCAGGCATAACACGGCCCGCTTGTATACACCGAGGAGGAGCGGCGAAGAAGGAAGTGAGCACCACCTCCCTCCTTCCCCCCTTCTCCAATTTTTTTATTTTTAGATGGTTTTAATGAATACAGGATGTTTATAGTTACCATTCCCTATGATTCGCACAAAAGACTAGAAAAATCCACATCCACCCCTCCCCTGCACCCAATCTCTCAAAGCACTACTAAAGAAGAAGAAAGGGTGAGAGTTAAAAAAAAAAAAATCAAATTTGTGGTGGAACGCAGCAGGATTGTTGTGCTCTCTGTCTGCTTTGCGCTCAGATCCCTACTAAACAAACATAGTGTGGTGTTAAGGTGCAACAAAGAGTGACGAAGAACTGCAGGTGGAGAGTGAGCGGGAGAAGAGACGAGACGTGGCAAGGTTACTCGCGAAGCAACTTCAAGGCAGCGCGCAACTTCTGTGTTATTTCTGTTTTTTAAAGTCGCGAAAATAATACAAAAGCCGAATCAATATGTGCGAAGAGGTGGGTAAAGAAGGTTACCTGTTTCCTGTTGTCTGTGATAATGTGTTTTTTTCT